AATAAGATGAAGACAGAATAAATTATCCTGCAGGCATTTGCGACTAAAATTGTGTTACCAAGATAACCTTAGTCAGTGGCATTTCGAACAGTTCAAAGTAGAAAAATATCAGCGCCTCTTAGCTATCCATCTATTTTTGTAGCCCCTGATTCCCGCGATTGGTGCATTTTAGAAAATAAAATCTAAAAATCGTCAATGCCATGGAGTCTCGACGTTTGAACAGGACATATAAAACCGTAAGCGCCGATCATGGCACTGAATTAGCGCAAGACTGAACAGCGATTCTACTGAATTAATTCTGTTGAAAGTAAGTTAGGATAGTGTGAGAGTTTAGTCTATAACACCTAAACCAGTTTCGGTTACCTAAGCGTTCGTGACTTTACGATGTATGACTGATGCTGGTCTACATTCGAATCAAAATAAAATTCTTGTTACGAAAATAAAGTCCTGTGTTATACATCACTTCTAAATGCAATCGTACATTTTTGCCAAAATGCCTCGACCATATTACACGGTCGTAATGCTGTCACACCACTGGTGGATACTCCATGTACAAAAACAGTTTCTTTATGTGAATCTTGATAAACAGTTATCAGTTAATCTTTTATCTTTGAGTTCATCCATTCTGTGCACAGACACTGAGTTATTGATGCCTTAATATTCGAACTTCACAGCAAGAACTATCTGTGCTTGGTTTTTTAATTCAACAGTCTAACATTTTTCCCTTCGCAGTTAAGAGGATCTAGTTTAGTTGAAAATCCAACTAGTTCATAACAGATAAATTTTTCTGCGACATTGCAATCTTTTATAAATTCGTTAAAAAATCAACAAATCACTAGTATCTGAAAGTTATAATTAAAAAAACGTAGATATCTCACCCCATCGATAATATCCCCTCGTACGGAGTAAGTTTCTTCGGTTACTTCATCGGTAAAAGTGTAAATCTCCTCGATGTTGAAAGAATCGGCTGAATGGACGAAACATTCAAGACAAAATTCGATCCCGTCGATATTTAAAAATTACCCAAATGTTCGCCGGCGGATCGCAATTCCTCCTCATCATACGGTTGTACAAATTCACATTCAAAAACGAGGTTCTGCTTGTCTTTCGCAATGAAAACGGTAAACGGAGGTTTACATGTGATCTAAAATATACTTAATTAAAAACAAAAAAATTGGCATATCATCGATGAAAAATCTTTGTATTTCGTGGCTTGAGGCAAAAGAAGCGGATCTAAGACTTTCGAGCTCATTGTTTCAGAGAGTACTGACACTGTAATCATAAACGTCACCAAAAATTTTTTCGATCCTTATTTCTGCCTCCAGCCATGGAAGCAGAATATTTTGTATTGTTACATACTGACACTGACAGTTGCCATTATGATAGTGCTATACAATATTATACAGTAGTGATCACCGATGGCAATGATAGTGCTGCGACAAACAGGACTGATATGATCCTCATGCGTCAACATCAGGAACGACATAACAATATTAAATATATTCAACATTATAAAAATACTATTAAAGACTAACTCTAATCAGGACTTGTAAACATGAGGGAAATCTTTTCTATTATACTACAGACAGTTTAAAAGTTCCGTGAAAGTGGCATAAAAACATAACTGCCCATGGTTTGCTGATTCATGACTGAGGTTATGAAATAAAGCAAATGTTAGCCCTATATTGCCAATGGGTTTCGCTACGTACGTCGTAGCATCGCTAGGCACAACTGATTATCAGACCGCTAGTCGCCTTATTTACACAAAAAATACAGCATTTAAAGCGAGTGGAGATTAACGCCAGATTTAACAAGCATATTAAAAACCTTACACTTGAAATTAATCTGAATCGCTTACTAGGTCATTCCAATCATTTTTTCAAGTGGTTGAGAGTATCGCAGTTTTATTTATCACACCAGAGGAGGACTATTCAAAGCAGTTACGATATTTCATCGCCAAAATATGTAACAACTCTTTTGCCATAAGATCACCTAGTTCTGTCGATTATAGACGCATCCATCTGACCGATGGAATGAGTTCAGAAAGGCGCGGTGCGCAGAAACAATTGGAAATTTAATCTTATTTAATACAAGAAAATGTCTGAAAAAAGTAAAACTGAGCAAAGAAAAAATTCTGAGAATTTATTCAAGATTAATTTTGATACCGCAGGTGATTCTTCTCGGTGCTTCTCTTGTTCTGAGCTGCTACCAGACATCGCTTCCGAATCGACGCAGAGACTGACGTTGAACTTTACAGTAATTCTATAATGATAGATTTTTGGTCAGTTATATGGAGTTTCATGAAATAAATTTCTAACATCCGACTCACGTTTCCTTTCCAATCTCTTTTGTTAAAGTAACCTGATCTTCATTGGTGGAAACCTTGAACCCTTCCATATGAGGTACACCCTGACCATGTAGTTCTTGTTCTGCTACCTCCTTTTCAGCGTCGATTTCACTGGTCAAAAATTCTGACAACGTACTTTCCGCTAAAAGAATTAATTTATTTTATTCATTTTCATGGCAGGAAGGTAATATTATTAAATACTAATATAAAAAATCAACAAAAATAACAGCTAAATTCACATAAGTAAATGATATAAATAAGAATGATATGAAAAATGACATCCTTTCGATTAGTCCGTGAAGGACAATTCCCGCAGACAAAACTGTGAAGGATTTTAATCCATAACATTATTAAATGCCGAATAAAGGGAGAATCTTTGAGCGGTCGTAACAATCCAAATAATTCAAACTGAAG